TAAGCCATACCAATCAATTAAGAAATTTCTTCTGGAGTCCTAATCGTTAACATGATGAAGGTCTCTTCCTCAATGACGCTGATCCATCTTGTTTATGGTCCTCACTTGGTATCTTAACATTTTACCCCTAAAAAAAAAACCACCAAACAGAAATTGTTGTTTTTGATTTCTCAAAGACCACAAGTTCATTGCACAACTGCTTGAAAATTTCTCCTAACAGCCATTAACTTGTATTATCTTAATGGGCCATTAACTTTTTAGAAATGTTTGGGCCTTAAAGGCCCATAAATGATAAGAAATAGGCCTCTTGTGACATATCAAACAAGATTCGATCGGCATCAGGTTTTGTTAAACCATCACCACCGTCGCCTCCGGTTTCCCAATCAACCACTCGTCGCCGTCGCTTCCGATTCTCCGGGTACGCTCGATTTCTTCAGTCTCGATTAACAATCTCTGAGATTTTTCTGTACTATGGTTTTACAATTACTCACGATCTAGCTAACTTCTCTTTCATTTTCCTCACTCGATTAGGTTCGAATTTGAGCTTTTTTTCTTTCTCGCATTTTGATTTCAGCTTTAAAGTTTGTAGAAATGGCGTTTGCTAGGGCATCGAGACGACCACTTGGAGTGTTTTACTATAGTGCTAGTGGTAGATTTAGCTCTGGAAATGAGTATTCTAGTGTAGCAAGCAAATTGGAAAGTCTGTCTCAGTACAAGAGCTCTGGATTTGCAAAACCTTGTAGTGGTTTTGGGAAATTCTTGCGTGGTTTTGGTTCGATGTCTGAACAAATGAGCCTCATCAAGGAACTTAGGGAAAGAACTAGTGCTCCTATTAAAGATGTCAAGGCTTCTCTAGTTGAATGCAATTGGGACATTGGTAAGAGTTTCATTTTTCTTGCTGCCACTTTCTGTGTGTTTCTTGTGTTCTTAAGCAAATGGGTGTTCTGGATTTGACACAGAGGCTGCTCAGAAGGATTTGAGAAAGAGAGGAAAAGCATTGGCTTCGAAAAAGGCGTCACGGACAGCTGCAGAAGGAATGCTTGCGGTTGCTCAAAACGAAGGGAAGCTTGCTGTTATCGAACTTAACTGCGAAACGGACTTTGTTGCTAGGAACGAGATTTTTCAGTACTTGGTTAGTGCTATAGAAAATTTCACATGGGTTGCTTTATTGTTGTTGCTGGCCATTTCGTCTTCTGAATCGACATTGTCTTGTAGGCTTTAGCTATGGCAAAACATGCTTTGCTGATCGAAAATAGTTCGCAGCAAGCTCCTGGTATCTTCCCCTTTGGTCCGGAGCTTTTTGAGGTCAGTTGTTTGATGTACTCACTCGTTTCCTTTTCGTGTCCTTAACATCGTGGATCTATGTTTTTTTCTGTTTGCACCGATATTCAATTTTCATACGCCATTCAGGAGTTGAAGCTCAATCTCGATCATCCAAAAGTGAATGGTGAAACAACGGTTTCAAACGCTGTTACTGAAGTAGCCGCGATAATGGGAGAGAATGTAAAATTTAGGAGAGGTTTCTTGCTGTCAAAATCTCCAACAAGCGTCCTTTCTGCATATCTCCACTCAACTCCCCAGCCAGGTACATGTTGTATTATTGTTCATGTTGTCTCTAATCTCTATTTACACTATATTTCTTCACATTTCTAACCCTTTTATTTATATGAGATTAGGGTTGTGTCGTATAGCTGGGATCGTATCTCTAGAAGTAGAAAATGGAACTACTCAAATAGAAGCTCTTCAGCGTGTAGGCTCAGACCTGGCCATGCATGTTGTAGCCTTAAATCCTTTATTTTTAAGCAAAGACCTTGTTTCTTCAGAAGCAATAGCAAATGAACGCGAGATTCTAAAGTCTCAGGTCACTGTCACCTTATTGTTATGGAATTGAGCTTTAGTTTGTAAACAGAGTTGGAAAAGTTGTCTTATCAAAATTTGGTATATGACAGGCAGAGAGTACAGCCAAGTCTCAGATGGTTGTAGAGAAGATGGTGGAAGGCCGTCTCCGTAAATATTTTGAAGAAGTTGCTCTAATGGAACAAAAGTTTATTGTGGACGATGCTATAAGCATAAAGGTATGCGAATTTGGATTTGTAACACCTAGTTCGCCATATGATTGTCTCTGCATTGATTGTTGAACAGAACTTTTGGGTTGCGAGTCCATGATTTTTTAAAAATTCTCCATCCTTTTCCACAGACACTGGTGGACAATTTGTCCAAGGAGGTGGGTTCTCCTGTGAAGGTTACCAGTTTTCTGAGAGTCGAGGTTGGGGAAGGAGTCGAAAGGTAAATAATACAGTGTCCCTTAAATGTCGATAGCGGCTTATCGCTATCGTAAAGATGATTGGCTTAATGAATGTGTCTATATTTTGGTTTTGTGAAGGCTTGAAGCATCTGATGAGCCGGTTTCTCAAATTGCTTGAAGATCATGAAATGTGGACATGGTGTTCGATTCACAGTCATACTTTTCTTTGGTATAATTAGGTTTGAAGTCCTTAGATTCAGCGGAGACCATTCAGACAATATGGTCTTGAGGTTACAGAACGATGGGCTTTCCTTTCACATACTTTGATGTTATTAAAAACGTCAATAAGATCAATCTTGTGATTGTTCCCGCTTGCTTAGGAAGCTGTGACAAAACCCTGTCTTCTTTAGTGTTCTCCTACTAAGATCAGTTATACAAAACCTTATGCATTGTGCTTGTTTCCTTTGATGTTCTTCATGTGGTCATGTTTGATTTTATGGTAATTCATAGAATGGATAATCTCAATCGACATGATATAAAAGTGTACTTATTTAGCATCATAGGCAAGTAGTTCCATAGTAATTAGTATTATTTCTGACAAATACAAAATCAACACATACCAAACTAATCTATACTAGATTTCAACTTTGAATTGGTCCTTTTCAGACCAAAAACCTGACTTAACGGTCCTAGCTGGTCCACATCACTAGCACCAACACAATCCCATAATAAATAAATAAAAAGGAATGTCGTGCTCTCTTATGGGCCTTACCAATTTGTGTGGGTTTTGCAGCTCTCAAATCAGATTTGAATGAGACACTTAACTCCTACTTGATCCCTTTTCTCCCTTTTTATAATCAACACTGACAAAAGATCGAACCGCAATAACTTTTATCCAATCTCGATATGAAAAGTCTAATGATGCTATCAGATTCTTCTTCACGGGCTAAGAAGAAAGCCTTACACGCTAATTGAACAGAGTATGAATCAACATTTAAGATAGTATATTATATATTTGGTTATGATATCAATCTAAATCTCCCATCGATCGGAGGATTAGGCAAGTGATTATCTAATATAAGTCACACCCAACTCCCATTACTATTTTCCTATCACCGTAAAATAATAGTGAATATTGGAAAGATAGGTTGGGGTTTTGCTGTGATTGATGAATACTCGTATCACACAAAAAAAATGTTGGAAAGATAACAAAAATGATCATGTAATC